AAAAAAAAAAAAACAAGCTACATTTCTATTGTTTTCACTTCTAATTAATATTTTACCGCCCAGCCCCACCGTCGCCCCAGTGTCCCGGACAATGAGCCAAACGTACTCCGTAGACAGCCAGACTTAGGCCACACCCGTCCCACGCATTTCGGCGACAAACCTCCGCAGGAAACAAATTAATGTACTCCGTACTGTACCTAGTAAACTCAGGTAGTGACGACTTGTTACTTCCTAGTCTACCAGACAAGGACTCAAGCAGACCAGGCAGAATGCATTAAGTTAATCTTCTCTATGGCTTTACATGATCGATCAATCGAGGGTCCGATCCTGCATCAATGTTAAGTACGAGTACTCCATCGCCATCGACTAGATGGATTTGGTCTTAGCTCTGAAGCTTCGCTTGAGTGGTAGAACGAGGTGGATCACCATGTCCTTCGGGAGGCTTAGAGAGTGAAGCTTGGCCTTATGAGGGAGGGGAGGAAAGACCCCCTTTCATCATCTCTATGACACGAGCGAGGAAGTTAAATCACGCCTATGTAAATCTTACGGCTACTTGCGTCGACCCTAAGACGTACTACGGTACTCCATAGTAGTTCAACACGAAGAAAGCTCATTTTTCCCCGTTGACAGAAACAGGTGCATCCACGTGGGTATAGGGTTAAATACGGAATGGATACAGACAGGTTCCTGTCCACTTGAAGGTCAAAAAAGCTTTCACATACTCTGCTTGGCCAGCTGAATTATATTTCGGCGCAATGGCCCGAGTTTTGCTAGAAATCCAAGTCATGAGTAATCTCTTGGTCCCCAGATAGAGTTATCTAAGTCATAATCTCTATTTTGTTGGGCCCTCAATCACTAAATGAAGTTCTTGGTAAATTGTACTGAGTAACACAGTTAATCAAAGTAGTATACTCAATCCCAAGGACTCAGTCGGGAACAGCTCCATTCACCCAGTCATTCGGTACAATCCAGGCTGAGATATTGCTTGAAACAAGGGCCAGAACAAATAACCCCACCCTCGATAATGAACAGAAAATTGGAGTAGAGATTATCTAGAGCATGCAGCTGTCCTACCAGTATTTGCTGATGAGGCCCTATTTTGTATACAAGCTTGTGACTTCTAGGTGGCGAGAAATCTAAAGGAAACGTCCAATTTCTCGGATGTCGTCCTTTGCCGCTATATTCCAGCACCAGTCACTGGCCTTCTTTGTCTGTTCTGACCCTAAGATGGGGATGCACTGATCGGTGAATTTTTCCATCAGTTGACAGTCGGTCATCGGTGCATCGAGACTGCCAACGGCATGGTCCACGTGTCGTACAATAGTATTATCGCCTGCCCCAAGCTCGGCCACAATCTGGCATTCGTCCGTGCGAATAGTTTCCGCTACTGTAACAACAATTTTCTCGCGCATCCGGATTGTGTCGGGATCGGTTACGACTGCGTCCTCGTATTGCGCTGGCGTTACCTTGCCATATATCAGAGCAACTGCCCCGCCATGATAAACACTGAATTTTGCCTGCAACCCATCAACAGGTTGAGTTTTGCCGGTCAATTCCAATACCAATGGATGAACAGTGACTTGGATCTTGTTCAGAGCTTCTAGCGGTAGCCCCCTCTTGCGCAACTCGCCATGCAGCCAGATGCAACCATCGATGACCGGATGTTTGACGATACCGCACGGGAAAGGCTTGAAGGTGTTTTTCTCGAGTTCCCATTGATCTCCTGCTTGCAATCTAGCCATCTGTTCTTCCAGCCTATTATCATGGCTAGTGACCTGGACCCAGCCTCGCTTAGCCTCCAAGGCCTGCATGGAGCTGGTATACCCGTCTGATGCCAGGATAGCGGCCAAAAGTCCGTTTTGGGCTGCCCGACCCGGATGGAAGGATTTGGTGTGCGACCCAAACATTTCGCGAAGGCCGGTTACTTGAGTGGCAGCAATGCCAATTGCATGGGCTGTCTTCTCTGGGGAGAGGCTCATGAGCCGCGACACCGCTACGGCTGCCCCAATGGATCCCGTGGAGCCAGTGATATGCCTGATCAGACGACCGATTAGTTGACTTACTACGTAGGATTTATCAGGGCCACACTCACCAGCCCACGTCGTAGTGGCTCGGCCAGACTGCCAGGCCAATCCTGCACTCGATTTCGATCCCGGCAGCAAGGGCAGTGAGAAATTCAACGCCCGATACTGGTCGATCGAGCGACTGGGCGATACTCAGAAGGGCAGCCGCCACAGGCGCCGTCGGATGAATGATGGTTTCTAGATGCGTGTCATCATAATCATGGACGTGCGACGCGATACCATTGATCAAAGCTGCATGCTGCGCATCCACCTGAAGTCCCTCAGAGCCTAGTAAGGTCGAAGTCGGGGCGCCAAAGAAGCGGGAAAGGGAGTTGCGTGCGATGGAAACAGCGGGGTGACTGCTGCCCCCAACCGCGCAACCCACCCAATTGTAAAAACTTCGAGCGGCTGCATTGAGGACACCAGGAGGGAGTGAGGAGGGAGTGAGGGAGGTGGCCCAATGTGCAGCATGCAATGTAGCCATTGTGCACGGAAGGCGAAGTGTAGAGAGGAGAATTGGCAGGAGGGGCGAAGTGGTTGAAGAGTGGTGCGGCGGGGATATCAATAAAGTACCGAATATAGATAATCCACTGGTCGATCTCATTTGCTCATTTCCTAGTTTTATCATTACTGCTAAGTACTACGCGCTGTGATGTATCCTGCCCCTCTCCCAATGCAAAATTAATAGTTTCGTAGCAAAAGCTCATTTCCGTCCTGATTTTTCCTGCATCTCACGCATAGCAGCTCGAGCACTTCGACTGCCCCCTAACTTCGGCCCTCGGGAGGCTTCGGTCTTGGTAGATTTCGTATTTCTCGCTCGCGCCACCCGACGACGGGACTGAATGGCATCAAGGAAATCTTTCCGGAATTGCTCTGCCACCCTATCGTCGGCGGCTTGACCATCTGCGTCTCCTGCCTCATTTTCCTCGCCCTCTAAAGGGCCATCATAGACGTCCACTAAGATAGAGTAAGATCTCAAGATTAGAAGTTTTCACACTATGAGATGAAAACTCACATTTACTCTCTCGTAGAATTTCTTCAACCAGTCGATCTCGTTCAACGTCCTCGCTGGTTCGTCGCTTCCGGTTGCGCCATGGCCTCTGCTCCTTTCCTGAATGTGTCGCCTTGGAGCCGCTTTCTGTCGCAAGCAGCAGGTCATTATCGTTCCCAGCGAGCTTTCTAGTAGCCGCTTCAGTCCGAGCGATGTTTTGCAATTTAGACTCCTGACCAAGGTCAATTTCGTGTAGTTTACCCAACGAGGCCGGTTCACGTTGTGGTAGGTCAGCCATCGACGGTGCAGCTGTCGCTGTGATTGTTGAGGCCGAGCTGTCGCGAACGTCCTCGGCTGACACGCTGCCTCGATGACGCTTGGCCATTTCGGATTCTATGTAAGCCATCCTTATCTCGTTAGCCAACATCGCCAACCGGTAATAATCATGGGCAGATGAAATAGGAAGGGTACGTTCGTACATATGCTTGTCAACGTCCACCGTCTGCCCTGTATGCGCCGTGAACCGATCAGACATCGCTTGCAATCTCTCATTCTCCGTATTCTCGGCCGTCGTGCATGTGATAGTTTTCTGGTTAACGTCTTTCGACGTTGGCCGCGAAGCGGTTGAGAATTCAATTCCCCCTTTGCGAGCCCGTTGTAACCGCCGAAGACGAGCAGCATCTAAATTATGGCTCGTATCCAACCCATCCGACTGAGGCAGGGAGGATAGTCCGTCTGATGGCTGGCCATAAACTTCCGCGGTGGTACCCTGCGCATCCTCTAAGCTGTCCCCCGGTCGGCGTCGCAGGAACTTTCTCTTCTTCACTGGGCGGAAGAGAGAGGCCGGATTGATCTCAGTATCCATAGTCGCATAAGCAAAATATTATCAGTTCCAAGATTGTTCATATACCAGGACAAGAGAGAAAGGATTTTTATATGATATTGGAGATGATGACAACGACGACGATGATGATATTGGTAGTGGTTGGTGTTGAGTTGATGGCGTTTTGCGCTGGCGGGTACCAGCTTGCGGCGCCGGGGGCAAGCGCGGCGATTATTCATTCCTTCAATGCAATCACCATTCATTTCCCGCCAGCCGTGCGATACATTCATTCCCCCTCCATCAAAAGCCTCTCGCCCTCCAGAAGTAGTTGGCTTGTCTATGGCCTCTTTTTAACTACCTTCTTTCCTTTCTTTCCTTCTTGTGGCACGCATTGAACCGAGCCAATTTTGCTCCAAGCTACCGTTGCACCCACTTCTTCACCCGAACAAGCTGTGCCCTTGACCTTCGGCCATGAACCCATCCATTCCACCCTCAACAGCCGAATACGGCGGAGGTATGTCGCCAATTATTGCTGCAAACTGCTAAGAGACTGGATTTTGCGTCAATGATGACCGATCAGAAACGAAATAGCTGGCTGACCACGGCATATGGACAGATGAGGTTTCTGCGATCGTACTTGACCCGGGCTATTCCACAACACGCGCTGGATTCGCTGGTGAGGATACACCGAAATCATTAATTCCGACGTATTACGGCAAATACACCTACGACAGTCAGGAAAAGTTGATATTCGGGGACGATGTCTTCGTCACCCCCCGTCCTGGTCTTTCAGTCCACAATCCCATGGGTCAGGACGGGATAGTAGAAGACTGGGACATGGCCGAGAAAGTATGGGAATATTCATTCACCTCGCGCCTCACAGGACCCAGACCTGGAAATCCCTTACACAATGGATTGAATGACACTCCAGACAACGAGCTGCCTACGGAAATGGAGGGTGTCGAAACCGAAGAAAAGCCTCTCGCGGACAGCCCGTTGTTGATGTCGGAACCTGGTTGGAACCCCACTAAGGCTCGCGAGAAGACCATCGAGATTGCTATGGAGAAATGGGGCACTCCAGCCTTCTATCTAGCGAGGAATGGCGTTCTCGCAGCGTAAGTCATCTGCCGCCAACATCTACCGCGATCTAATCTGTTGATTGACTTCCCATTTCTAGCTTCGCGGCCGGCAAAGCCTCGGCATTGGTTATCGACATCGGTGCTTCCAATATATCTATCACTCCGGTTCATGATGGGATGATTCTGAAGCGAGGAGTTCAGCATTCCCCGCTTGGAGGAGAATATATCTCGTCGCAGCTCCGCGCTCTCTTCAAGACGAATACACCGCAACCGATCACCATAACACCCCATTATCTCATTTCCTCCAAAATTGCTGTGGATGCCGGACAGCCTCCACAAGCCAAGTATAAGACTTTTTCACCTGAGAAGGCTCCACATGCTACCTATCGCACTTTACTCGAGGAGCGCACGCTGTGCGAATTTAAGGAATGCGTGGTCCAGGTTTGGCCTGGGCCCAATAAGCTTTCTGGAACGGGTCCAAATGGAGTTTTGAACGAAGACCTTGCCAAAACCAGTCCCGGGCGGCCTTTCGAGTTTCCTGACGGCTATAATCAGGTCTTTGGTGTCGATCGTTATCGAGTCGTCGAGTCGCTCTTTGACGCCAAGGCCGCGATTCCGGACCCTGAATCGATTTTCCCACCAGCCACACAGGCGCAGACCGTGCCCGAGTTGATCAAGAATGCACTGAATGGTGTCGATGTGGACGTTCGCCCACATCTCTTGGCGAATGTTGTTGTGACAGGCGCCTCAAGCTTGCTCTATGGTTTCACAGACCGCTTGAACCAAGAGTTAATGCAGATGTACCCAGGGCCGCGCGTGCGTATCTCAGCCCCAGGAAACACCGCAGAACGAAAATTCGGCTCTTGGATCGGTGGAAGTATTCTGGCCAGTCTCGGAACTTTCCACCAGCTATGGATCTCGAAGAAAGAGTTCGAGGAGCATGGGTCTAACATCGTTGAGAAGCGGTGTAAGTAAGATTGTCCGCCTGTTATCCCTATACTATCTGTCTTCGGGTTTATTACAAGATGTTGGAAGGTCATTGTTGCGGTACCTTCTACGAATTGGTCTGGTGCTTTTTCTTGCGATGAAGCTCTGGTAGTTACCGTATAACTCGAAATTCTTTTTTCGTTGATTTCATCAATCGGCTGTTGCTATGGTTGTGAACCAAATCTACAAGACCTCCGCCGCGTAAGCACAGGAGGTGTATCATCTTAAAAACTCAAACTCCCCCCATCATAAATCTTTTTACGTTGTAACGAAGGCTGTATTCATGACGGACCTCACTTGGCACCCTCGGCGTATTACGCACCTTGACAGCCTGTGGCATCGGTCATTCCATCCTGAAAACAAGCAATCCTCCTGAACGTCATTCGATCCACGATTTAGACATCACAGGGGAATAATATGCTCATTGTTGCGCAGCTGGAGATTGATGCAAGTCCGCTTTGTGTGCCTCTGGCCCGAGTATCGAAGGAAGGGCTGTAATCACTGGTTGCAGGGGTTCTTTTTGCTTTCCGAGACTCTCGTAGGTGGTACCCCTGATCTTTAGCGCCTTCATATCTTGAGGCAGGCTTGTCTGGGCGGGGAACAAGTGGAAGCGAGGCGCTGTATTGGGTTTTGGCTTGAGTGAGTAGGTGTTGAGCGTTTCACAGTCCTTTTTCGGAATCCATGCCATGTCTTCGGCGGAGGTTGGCTCGAGAACGTCGGGATGTGTTCCATGCGCCGCACCGGTATTCTTGGACGATGCCATTTGAAATTTGCTCCACGGTCCGTCCTTCTCGAGCCCGGAACTATTCTCAACAGTAGCCTCGTTCTCATTGCGTGCTGCAGTCTCCCAAGCATCCTGCACGCGGTCAGACCTGAAGAACTGCAGCAATTGGGCTTTCATCGTCTCCCGCCTCAATGATACGTGTGGCATAGGGGGGTGTTCGGCTGGGACAGGTGCTGATTCTCCTTCGCGTTTCCGGCTTTTATGCAAGAATTTGAGGTGATCCAGAGAGATACTCCGTGCCCTTGACGCCCTGGATGGCGCTGTGGATGGTCTCTGGACTGACTGGTCTTGAGGTTCCGTCGGCTTCGATATGGATTTCGAGAGCGTCACTACATTGCGCCGAATGCTGGGAACGAATACTTTGGAGGCCTTTCTGCCCGTCACTTCACCGACAGACGCTGCTCGGTCCATCATCTGGGAAGCGCTTTCTTCCGTACTTCTTCCAGCCGCTCTCAAGTTTGGAACACTTTTCTGCATCAACCTTCGGCGTTCATTCGGCCACAAATTAGGCGCTGATTGCGGAAAGTCTGGTGCACGAGGCAGAGGTTTGTATGATATGGGAGAACAGGTTCCGGCGCTTGAGTCCTTCTCAAATACTCGTTCTTTGAGCGATCGTCCTCGCAAAAGCCGGTTGGAGCGCTGTGCGAAGGAAACCTATATTTGTGTTAAGACTCAAAGCTTTGAGCGTCATGGTACATTTTGATACTGACCACGGACTTTCGACTTGCCACACCGACACGCCGCTGCATTTCAATTATAGCCAAGCCGAGCTGACCAAGTGCATATTGGAGGGCCACGCCTTTGCGCTCGAGCTCTGAGAATGCATTGTTCCAGCCCTCTGCGTTTGATAGCATGGCATTATAGATCGCTACCAATCTACCCGGCATTGGGCCGTTCTCGTTCGCCGATTTGAAAAGGTATCTCCAGAGGACACCGATCGCTTCACGTCCTTTCTTTATATCCTTCAGAGCGTCCTGGACTGCGATTGTGAATCTCCCGATTGCATGTTCAATCCTCTCGTTATAATCAGTGATGGAGAGACGAAAGCTACGGTCCCCCAGCATCTCATCGAAAACATCTAGGTTTTCCAGAGGTAGACTAAGGTACTGTATGCGTGTGCGCACATCAAGCTGTATGATGGAAAAATCCTCCGCAGTTCTCCCTAAGAATCCATCCACTTCATCCACATGGGACTGAAGAATTCTCAAGACCTCCACATCTGACTTGGCCAATCCTCTAACAAGGAGATGAACGCCAAAAGACATTTGCGCGGTAAGCTTCCAGAGTGGATGATACCTGCCACACTTCAGCATGCCATGTCACTGAATAGCGTTTGTGGAGACTGTGGCTCGACTACTTACCGTTCATCGGCTCTTTGGCGCCATTTACGACCACAGAGCCGCTCATATTTGGGTGTCTCAAGGAGATCTCGGCGTCTAGTTTGAGCATCAAGCTCGACTGCGTCCCATCGTGCTGTATGGCGGGTCTCCGCAATCGATTCTTCAAAGGGACCCTGCAATTGGGGTATTGGGTGCAACGAAAACTGGCCGGTATGCCTTTGGCCGGATGCGATGCAGCCTCCTCGTCCTGGAGAAGGGGCGCCAGCACCTGAGGCGGCCTGATTCCCTCGCTTTGCGACCACGCCGGCCATAAAGATTCGCACGCTTGTATAGGTGCACAGCTCAATCCACAAGTTGGATTTACTCCAAAACATCCATTTACGTTTCGCAGGAGGAATGACTGTGGCGATTGTGGAGAACTATTGGCTCTACAGATTGAAATTCAGGTGAGATGTGGAGGCTATACCCCATCCGACAGTGCAGCCAGATTGGAGGAACCCATTGCAGTTCAAGCTGTAGAACAGCTCGGCGCTGAAATCTGCACGACGACCGGAAGGGCAGGCAAGCGTTGAATGGATGGCAAGGAGTGGCACTCCGAGGATCAGATAGTAAACGACGAACAAAAGAAGAAGCCGGGAATTTTGTAAGAGAATCCTTGGGCGAGGAACGGGCCTTTCGACACCCTGGTGGAGGATTCGATAGCAGAGAGAGCTGTTTTGTCGTTTACGAGACTCTTTGCAGCCAGCGCAATGATAGATTGGTAGATTGGCATGAAAGTGTTATCTCATACAGTTTGATAAATGGTTTTCGTCATTGGTTAGAACAGGTGTGTCTTTGACTGAAATTTTGACAATTTTGAATTTTGAGGAATCCAAATCGTACAAGTCGCTGAGGTGTGCAGAAGTAGTAGAAGGGAGAGAAGGATCCGAGGAGAAGGTGGTGGTGGAGTGGCTTCTCAATTTATAAACGAAACAAGGAAGAATAGCGAAGGTAACTCAAAAGGACAACAGTCACATCTGAATTTACTTTACATGCGAAAGGTTCGGTGGACAAATCAGCCGACAGTTCCTCCAATAAGTTCTTCTAAAGTCTCCCGTATTCTTCTAGTGTGAGAAGGCGAAAAGGGGCGCGGGATGGGGTCTAGACTTCACCTGAGACTCACGGACACAGACCACCATACGGTAATTTATTTGTTCACTATTATGATGCTAACAACCATACTTCCAATCATGAGATGTATGCATACATCGCATGCATACACTTCCTGAGTTGGCACGGCCGCTACCAGATCCTGGTCTTCATCAAGTGTTGGCAACTGTCACCTATGAAACGCAATCCTAGGGATCCTGGTACAAGCTGGGTCCTTATCACTGAGAAGGCACTAGTGCTCGGTCTTCCACACTGATGACGACCGGCAATTCGCTAACGAGAATACTCCGGCATGTTGAAAGGCGTGCCTGGGTAGTGGATAAGTGGATTCCAAAATGCCAAGCCTGAACCCCCAAGAACAACCACCTTCTCACGCAGTCATTTTTTATGGACTGTGATCGCCGAGTCAATGCTCACTTGCCGTGCAGTGTCATGCTTCTGGCTGTTCCGAGCTTAGAAAAATAGGATCCAAAAAATTAGTGGGAAGAGAAAGGTCGAGGAACTCTCCAAATAGAAAGTCTATATCGGCGAATTGGCCGCACTCAGGATCGGTGCTGCTGATGTTTTGTACCTCCAAGGCATTGGGTGTTGGATGCGGTTGTGTGTACATAGGCAGCAAGATATCCGTATGTATGCCCTGCCCAGCATTAGAGGAAGGTGGCAACAAGACTGGCATGGTCTTTCCCGAAGACCGCGGAGTGCAGACGCTCGGTAGGTCTAGCGATTGCTCATTTTCATGATCGTGCAGCTGGTATTTAGGATTCGAAACGTCGATCTGATGAAGTGCCTTTCGTCCCAGTCGGGCCATCGCCTCTGCGGTTGACCAGTAGGCACTTATTCTCTCGAGCAGAACACAGGAAGCTTCCAGGCCGGCCCTGGCTCGATCGAGGTGAGTAATGAGTTTGCTTGAGCGAAATTGCTGGTACGAAACACCCATAGATAGCGTTAATGCATAAGGAATAATTGGCAGTGGTGGTAGACTTCCGGAGCATTCCGTGGCCACAATGGAATGAACTCGGACTGCGGCAAGTCCCTGACGAACATACGAAGGTTTCGACAAATCTGCAGGATGAGATAATCTGTATCTGCAGGAAAGGATGCCGACAGCATGGTAATACAGCTCTAGAAGACCTTTGCTGCCATTAGCAATTGCCCATAAGAATGGCTTCTATCTGTCCGTGTGATCACTCTGTAATATGGCATCTGATCAGAACGGAACATACCTAAAGTTGCAAAGTCCAAGTCGGAACACCGATCCCCTGTGATGCTCTCAAACGTGGGGAAATCTGCTTCCCATCCAACCGTGTGATCCGAGGCTGGTCTGTAGAACGAGATCACCGTTGATAGTAAATCCGAGATCGCTAACCATATGTCGAAAGCCGATTTTGTTGCAAAATGATCAACTCGAGGTTTTCCAATTCCGATGTCACGTTCAGACATAAAAACGGGTCGGCCGCCTAAGCAGGCATGCATTCTGTCCAAAGTCCATAAGCACCAAAAGAGACTCGATAGAGAATCCTCCGGCCTCCGACCAGGACGATGAAGATGTAGGCCCACTGTCTGAGCCTGGTGAATTGCCTGGCAAAGATGCATCGAGGCTGATTCGACGCCTTCATAGCCTTCGCAATGCAGAGACATGAGCGCCAGAATACGGATGCGGGTGATCCTGTCGGCTTCCAAGCCGACATTCATGGCAACCACAAGTTCACCGTATATTTCAGAGCAGAATTGACGGGAAGTCATAACCTGACCTTCTTCACATAGGCGAAGATAAGGCTCGGCTGCGCAATCTTTTGCTGCTACGAGACATACTGCGCGTTCTAGGTACACAGATACCGAATCTCCAGCGTGAGCTGAAAGCAGGGAATCTGGGTCGACAAGGGGTAATATATGATTGAGTTTTGTGAAATAGATGGGTAGAAGATGATTTCGCGTCGAATCGGGCAAACGCTCACAGGCCTTCAATGCAAGTTTGTGCTGCTGGTGTAATAAAGAAGCAGTCGATCGCGCCCCGGGGCTGTGGTGGCTTGGGGCATCATGGGCCGGAGTAGCTTCGCAGTGAGATATATGCTCTTCACAAGTTTGAACAGAAGGAGAACTGACCCAGAGGCCAATCCGGTCTCGCAGCTGAATTCCGTTGGCGAAATCTAGTTTCTCACGTATTACGGCTTCTGGGTTCAAATCCCCAACAAAGCGTTCTGTGTGTGAGCTCTTGTGGAGAATTGGTGTGATAGATGTTGTCTGAGCCGTTGTCACTGTTGTAGATAAATTGGTATCAACAAGAAGCGATTGGGCAACACGGTCCTGGGGCTGTTGCTCTCTTTGGGGTACCTCAGGAACTGTCATGGTGCCTTCACGGCGTTGATTGCTTTGCAGGTTAACGACATTCTCTGTGACAAGATGACGGCACCGTTTCTATATGGAATCATGAGCACATGTTTCTATAGCTCAGCATATGCTTTCGTCATGGCATGTGAGTTGTATGAGGTCGAAGGGGGATCTCTCACACCTTTTTCCTCTGACAGTGGACACATGCTCTCAAAGCCCTACTGCGTCGTCTACCTTGTGGGATATCGGCGAGCCAGACAAGTTCCATATCTTGTTGACTTATTCTATATGACACATAACCTACCAAGGGTATAAGTATAGCTTATCTCGGTGGGATATGACCGGTACGCAAGGCGTGAAATGGGTGTTATACATACCCGCCGAACCTATGTTGAGTGTGAAAAAAAAGGACCAAGCCGATACGACTCTCTGACTATTACTAGATTCTCTTCGTACGACCTTGTCTGAAAATATCGATAGCAAAGCTTCAACGAATTCCTGCTGTAGGGGGAAAGGTGGGGGGAAAAACCTGCAGACATTACTGTGCAAATGTTAGTCTAGGTTTAAAGTTGACATGTACTGTACTGTACCCAGTACTGTAATTTATATAATGCTATGTACAGTACAGAACAAATCCATAGACCAACCACTTAACTTATAACCTTACTCCAGTCAGTAACTAAGAAATTGTGCCTAATCTGTTAAGAAGAGAGAAAAATTTACTCACTCTAATAGCAGTAGCAGTCCTTTGAGCTAAGATGGTTTTAGCAGATGAATTATCAAGGATGAGTATCGATTTGATTGAAATAGATATAGTATACATAGTACTTACCACTTTGGCTACCGGTATATAGGTCTAGTGCTGAAAATTACTGCTGGTGTCAATAGCAATTCATTCTCCTGCAAGGCTAAGTCCAGCCTGAACGGTCAAACGTCAGTCAGCCCGACTAGGCTGGTGTTTCATTTCCGAGGACGCGTGAAACTCGCGCGCGACCACGACGCGTGCTTGTTTCCTCGGAATGGTCGTTAATTATGCTCGATCTGCAGCTGATTATGAAAGTATCACATTTCTACTGCTATCATCCCAGCCTTTGCCAATCTATTCGCCCCAGTTAATGCGCCAGAGTTGGTGATGCCACAAGTGCCCCGTGAGCTAGCTCCATTCTTTCTCGTTTCAACCCTCCTATCTGAGTCTCCTTGCCATTGCCATTGCCATTGCCATCGACATTGGTCATTCACCCCTCCCCCTACCACATACTATCTTCGGGGTCTACTCGCTGTCTGTGAACCCGCAAACCCAATTGCAATATGGCCGGTCAGGCGGGTACGAAACGAGATGCGGATCATCTCAAAGACCTAGCCGCAGATCGAAAGAAGTCCAGGGTCAACGGTAGCATAACTTCTTTCTTCAGTGTTCCAAAGCCCTCAGTCGTGGTCGAAACTATGCCACCGACCAGGGCCCCGACCAACTTCGATAAGCAGAAATGGGTGGCCACATTAAACCCCGAGCAGAGAGAGCTCCTTCAACTTGAAATTGATACTCTTGATGAGAGTTGGTTGGCACAACTCAAGGACGAGGTATTGAAGCCGGAATTCCTAGCTTTGAAGCGCTTTCTGCAGAAGGAAAAGCGATCGGGGGTTAAGATTTTCCCCCCAGAAGAGGAAATTTACTCTTGGTGTGGTTTTAAGGCTCAGATGTCAAATAGCATTTTGCAACTAATACAGCTTTAGGTCCCGCCATACCCCTCTGCACAAGGTCAAAGCAGTAGTGATTGGGCAGGATCCCTATCACAATCATAACCAAGCTCATGGTTTGGCTTTTTCCGTTCGCCCGCCAACACCAGCTCCCCCATCCCTCGTCAATATCTATACGGGGATCAAGAATGACTACCCTTCCTTCCAGCGACCACCGAACAAAGGCGGCCTTTTGACTCCTTGGGCTGAACGGGGAGTACTTCTTCTCAATACATGTTTGACTGTCCGCGCACATCAGGCTGCCAGTCACTCGAACAAAGGTTGGGAACAATTCACTCAGAAAGTTATCGACTTGGTGGCCCGGGTTCGTACTCGTGGCGTTGTGTTCTTAGCATGGGGGACGCCGGCCGGGAAACGGGTGACAGGCATCAACAGAGAGAAGCACTGCGTTTTGCAATCAGTCCATCCAAGTCCGTTAAGCGCTTCTAGAGGCTTTGTGAGTCAGCATTTCGAACATACAGGCGCAGAATGCCTTGCTGATCATTTTTGTGGCTACAGTTCACCAACCAACATTTCAAGAAATGCAACGATTGGCTATCCAATCGGTATGGTCCAGGCGAGATAATCGACTGGAGTCTAAGTTCCAAGAATAAGACAAACAATCCCCTCACCAATATTCAACGCCCTGCTCCACATGAGGCAAATGGTTGTGAAGACCTAGCGGTGAAATTACCCAATGCTCAGTACGAGCAAGTGTTTCATCATGACTCGAGAATCCCCATCCCGATCGAAAATGCCGATGAGTTCGATGAGGATTTAGATGCATTGGAGGTACTGGCGGCAACAGACTCAACCACTTGAGCGTCAGGAAGAACAACGCATTCTATATCTCTGATGCTTTGTTGACCCTAATACCTCTAGGTAAGAGTCACAGGTCATCCATAATTACTCTCCATCACATCACTGAATTGATAATTTCAGGGTGACAGTTGATCAAATGTGGGGTCGCGATACAACAAGTTGTGTGAATTTAAGGCACGCATTTGCGGTCATATGGCACCAGGGGCACGTGCGTAGATGCTTCAATGTGCTGATTATCAAACTTATCCCCTGAGGTAGCTCTAGGATTAGGTTACATCGTTCCGAGACGGGGCCGGAAATAAAAATCAAGAAATCAATGATAGACTGGTTTGACTCCCAGCTACGCACTAATGTATACCTGCCCTCAAACTATGAGCACCATACACCGAGACATGTAAATTGTGAAAAGTCCGCTGTCCCATAGGCCTTGCATTACCAGACTTCCTTGGTCTGGCGGTTCGAAAAGGACGCCAGATCAACCTTATCAGATACGCATGTGAGAAAAGAGAAATGAGCTAGAGCGGAAACAGAGAGGGACAGGCTAGATTGAGAATAATAAGATACAATTAATTAAAGGGACCAGGAACTTCCAAAACACTTAGAGTTCATCATGCTCCACCGCTTCTTCTTTGGCAACTTCCGGGGCCTCGTCTTCAGTGGGAGCTGCAACAGGGGGAGTAGTGACGTCCGCATCTTCCTGCTGCTCCTCAGGCTTAGCATAGGCATCAACCTTGTGCTTACCATTCTCGAAAATGAAGTTGGCGAGGTCCTCAACTGTGCGGGACCCTTCATACTCAATTGGAGAATCCTTGGCACCGGCTGGGTACAGTCTGATTGTTGGGAAACCAGTGATAGGGTCAGGGACATCGTTGGCTGTCGCATCAATTTTGGCGACAGTAACCTTGGCCGCAAGGTCAGGGTTGTTGACATAAAGACTAGCAAGCTCATCGTACTTCGGAGCAAGACTGTCGAATCTGGTCAGTTGTGTCCGCTTGGCAAATATGGAAACAAAGTAGGGGATAACATACGCTTTGCAGTGCCCGCACCATGGCGCATAAAACTCTAGAAGAACGTCCTTGTCGTTATCAACAACAAGCTCCTTATAAGAGTGTGCCACAACAACGGTCACTGGGCCATCCTGAGTCTCCGGGATAGGCTCTGACTTGATGCTAGGCTCGATCTTGCCATGAAGAACGTCTTGGATAAAAATCTCCAAATTTTCCACCTTGAGTTCCTTGGACTGGTCATACGGGTATTTGGCATTCTTCGCAGGATCTTGAATGGCAAAGGCAGGAAAGTTCTGGGGATCGAGGTTGAGGTTTCCTGCATGCGCACCGAACATCTTGGCATCAATAGTAGCGATGTTGATAGAGCCTCTGTGCTTCTCCGCGATCGGCTTGAAATCCTCCGTGAACTGTTCCCGCTCTTCCTTGGTTTCGGCGAAAATGTATGCGAGGGGAATGCCGGCCTTCGAGAATATTGATCAGTGGGACGGGATACATAAGCCTACCTTTGGAAGAGTAGGCATTGGTTTGACTGGAACTTTCGGGTAATCCACTTACTGTGATGTACCCAGAGTAGGTCTCGGGGCCGATTTCGCCCACAAGGGGAGTGCTAGCGGTCTTTACCCAGCCGAGTAGAGCCTCTTGGTCAATTTCGCCATCAAAAACTGCCTTTTTCTCATCGAAGTCCTTGTAGAGAACAAAAGCCGGCTGCTGGACACCCTCCACCTTGGCGATGGCAGGGTCACTTGCTTCCGCGAAGAGGTAATTATCCCTCTGGGATTCAGCAAAGGCCTCGAATGCGTCATGTGTCGTTTTATCTTCCGGATCAATATAACCGATGACGACGATTTTGTCCATAGTCTTGATCTCTTCAAGATTCTCACCGTCAACAGGTGACACGGCAGGAAGAGATTGCTTGATCATGTAGGACACAATGCTGATAGGTTGAAGGTAAGTAAGAATCTGTTATTTCCCTCACTTCCAAGATAGCGGAGAAGAATGATGACAGGAAAGTACTCAGGTGAACTCACGATTCTGCTTGACGCGCACCTTGGTAAGGCTTGCTCGATTCGGGTCCACGGAAGATCTTCAAAGTCGGGTAGCCCTCAACGCCCTGACTCCGACACAGATCCTCCTCTACAGTGCAGTCGATCTTTACCAAAGGAATATCCTTTGCCTTCAACTCTGCAGCCGCTTCCTCATACTTGGGAGCGAGAGCCTTGCAGTGGCCACACCAGGGCGCAAAGAATTCTGCAAGCACCAGATCATGTTCCGTCATGAAGCTTTCGAACGTGTCCGTGTTAAGTGAGATGACATCAGACTCGGCATCCGCAGCGTCCGCAGCGTACACTACGCTTGATGCGCCGAGGAGGCTGAGAGCCAAGGGGGCGAGAGATCGCATGTTGGCTGAGATGGCTGGCGGTAGTCTGAAGCTCGGGTGAAGTCAGAAACGGAAAGCCTTCCTATACTCCAGCTAATGTGGGCGACGACGCCAGAACTCTAGTTGAATGTATGATCAACCAAGCTCCAATGGAAGACTGAAGGTGCTAGGCTGCCTCGGGCTGGCGACTGGCAAGGAATGAGGTTAACAGTGTACAGGGTGGATAATGAGTGCTAGGTAATTAAAGACTTAAATAGTGTTTGTGAAGTATGGGGAACGGAGTTAAGGACAGTCTGTTCTTTCTGCAGTAAGCTGCCGCTTGAGGATGCTGACTGGTTCAAACGGCCCCGCTTAACACAGCAAGGGACCAAGCTAGTGGTACCTGAATTGTATAGTAGGCATTTTGCGGCATTGCAAGTAATATTGCAACGGAATGGTAACTACGGAGTACTCGTAGGTACTCGTAACTTCGGTCGGAAAAGTCAAGGTACTGTGCAGTACACCTACATACAGGGCGATTAGCCCCTTAGCAACATGCCACCGATGCGGTGCTCTCCATCTTTTCCCAAGTTGGAACGATACGTCAATTTTGTAACAAGAGCCCAGCAAAAGAATATTTACATCAATCCAACACATTCTGTCATGCAATCTTATCTTTACTTGTGCAGAGGTACGTTTTATCGAGACAGAATCGACGTGTCTGGAGAACCTATATCGAGCTTTCGACACGGGGCTCTAGCCCACACCAAGAATAAAAGAGATCATACTCAAGACTCACTATTCAGGCACAAGGAAGTGGAGGGACAAGGAGACAAGAAGAAATACGCAACTATCCCAATGCTGCTACGAAAGACACTGTTCCACACTTCATGGCTCACTCACTTTGCATGACTCGTCGTTCACTGTGAGTGGAGACGCGTGAATTCGTTCCAGAACCGAGCGACTGTACCCCCCTTTCGCCTTCCAATTCAGTCGCAAGTGCCAAGGCATCTCGTTTCCCACGGTCAACGTCGACAAGCAACATAAGAGGCAATGGAAACAAGATCAATATGGCAAGAAAGACGAATGCGGGTCTTATATCACCATATCGATCCGTGACGAGTCCAACAATCATCGGGCCAAAGATGCTGGATCCTTTGTCAGTGATGGCATAAAGCGCGTAGAAAGCCGCTTCGTAGCCTGGAGGGATCAATTGCCCGAAGAAACTTCGGCAGTAGGAAGACAATCCTCCCATGACAAGCCCGTAGACTATGGCCAGCACATACATCTCCCATGGTTGTTGGAGTCCTAAGAAACCCAATTCCTTAACGGCTGGAATGAATCCTAGAAGTCCATAGAGCGGCACAATCTCAAGCAACAGAATGCATAGAATGATGATTTGTGATGCACTCAGACCAAAGAACCGCGCAATATAGCCCCAAGAGAATGCACCGAATACACCTGCTGCCATTGCAACCACGTTGATCAGGCCCAATGCAGCAGGCGGCATACCGAGTTGGGTTTTAGCGAAGAGCACGGCCGTCCCACTCACTGTTGCAATTCCGTCACTGAGAAGAAACCACGAAGCAAGAAACAATAGAATATCTCTCAGGTGCCGAGTACGCATTGCTGTCCGGAGCAGAGACTTCCAGGCATATGCAACATAGCCACCCCACGCGCGATGGTTCTTGCTGTGCGAGACATGAGATAGAGGTGGTCCTGGTCGAGAACGCAGCCATATCGCAGCAGGAATCGTGAAAAGAAACCACCAGAGTCCGATCAGAAAGAGAACAAGACGAAGCGAGAAAGTAGTTTGCCTAGTCGCAAAGACCACGGCGATGCATATTCCTTGTAATATCACCGCGCCAATATAGCCAATGCCGATCCCATAAGAAGATATTTTGGAGGACAGCTCGAGTTCCTGGTTATTCTTTATAGAGACCAGTTTGCGATCTGCTAGATGATGCAGCCGACCGGATTGAACCAGCGGAGTTGTCTCTCGAACTTCATGCGGGGGGGCAGATGCTGGGACGTCGGTGTAGCTACTGTTTGGGGCGATAGGCCTGAAAGGACTAGCCGCATCTCTTTTGAGCAAGGAAGAGTGGTGGCGGACTAACAAAGGCAGGAACGAATTGAGAAGCACGAAAGAGGCCCCAAAGCAGGTATTGGCTACAATCGCAGACAGCGCACCCAGGATGTAAACACGCGGCGATATCGCAAGGAAGAGCATTGTGGCAACGGAGCCGGCTAAAGCAAAAAGGACTAGAAGCATCTTGCGATGATTCCCATGGTCTGCGGCGCCCGACATAGACACAATGAAGATAGCCTGAACAAAGACACTCACCGAGAAAGTATACATAGCGAAGCTTGCAGTGTTCACTTGTAATCCTAGAATATTAACCACGCATTGCGCTACAGTGGCTGCCCCAGGTCGCGCATACACAAGGGCCGATTGTGCTTGGTTTTGTGAGTGATTCCAACTTGCACTACATGGGATTGTCTGGTCCGATAGAAGGACACCACGTTCCCTAGCCATTTGCTCCAAAGTAATGGGGAGGAACGACCCTTTGAAAAAACCATCAATCAGGATATGCAACTTTTCAATAATGCCTCGGTTCAAAACATACCCATGGCACATACAGCGAAAACCTCTGCAGCCCAACCATAGCTGTACCAGCCAGCAAGCTCTTTCTTACTAGTAGGCCGTGCATCTTCACCCGGGTATTGGGGAGGATCACTCCCACCCCCATGATGTCCCTGCATGATGGCCCGAGACGCTCCAGAAGCAGCGTATATAGCAGATAAAGATAACAGCAGTTATTTCACTGTGTCAGGAGCCAATGCAGTCTCTGTATTCTCGTCAACACTGAGCTGAGCAGACCACGATGGATGATCACTCGCAGCAGCTAGTCCAGACAAGACAGGTTGAATGCTCTTTGTTGATCACCCACGTTCGAATCGATATCGCGCTGTGCCTACTGTGATCCAAGTTGAAGCTCTCAGAGGTATGAGGGAATCTCAAACGTAGCCAAAGGAAAATGATGGTGGTGTTATAGGCTCATGATACACAATAATGTAGTAGTCTTTTTACTGCGGCAGCAGACGAGGTCTCCAGATTACAGAGATAGCATAAGGAGGAAAATTGTCTGTCTGATAGTCAAAGTGCAAATCAACAGTATCGCTGCAACCGACACGCGCTCCGCAACAACATAAGGAGAGCACTGGTGTACGGGGCACTGAGTAGACCATAGTAGTACACTAGTCCTGCTTGGGGAAAAGTTGCTGGGATCTATGGGATTACGTAACTGAGGCGACCGCTGAGCCAACTGAGGCTGGACCTGGGCTCGTGCATTTGCAGCGCATCGCGCCGGCTTCATTTATCAATCACTTTGCCTTGTTTCCTTACCGGAATATCAATCCTCTGCTTGGAGTGTCCCAGTCCACCGCAGCTTTGATATACAAAATCTGTTTTAATCTCGCCATAGGTTATCACCTCGTACTGTCTCATACGCAAATCTCCTCCTCCCCGCTCCCAGATCGATAATTCGGTCTCCGTTCTATACGCCATTTTTATCGTGAATCGATCAGCCAGTGCTTGTGTCGCAGTTGCTCCTCACAACCTTGGACACAGATTCCGTTACGAAAACCACTACCTTCAACAACACCACACAGTAGCTGGTAATATCAGCCAACCATTGAAAAGATCCACTCTTTGAGCATTCGATTCTCGTTGTTTGGATGGAATAAGCTCGCGGCCGCACCGAGTCCACCTGCGCTTACGTTGGCTTGCGATTCTACGAAGCTGCAGATCATATATCTATCGCATCCATTGCGATACGTTCAACACCTTTGCTTCGGTCGATGGTGATACTCCTATGTAGGCTATATACCAGACCTCCGGTTTGACTAGTGGCCATCCATCCGTGTTCCGCAATTCTACATCCCTTCTTGCATCAGCTTTGGCTGCTTTGAAGAGGCACAGTCCTACATCAGATTACTCCCCTTTTCTCGTGCAGAGGGTGAGAAGGGGAGGGCTTAGAGCGACTGAGATCCAGCTTATGTCTTCTGGAACATGCCGGGCGTAGTCATGGACACTGCCAACATCGGCGGACAGATACAGGGATCACCCAACGACTCGCAGAATGGTGTATCTTATTCTGCCGGGGAGAAGGCGCCAATGAAAGGCTCTGCTGTTGTTCAAAACGGCTCTCTCTACGCAACCGGCCTGGAGAAGGGTTCCGCTTATCGCACGGACGCATCAACCGTCACACCCGTGTTGGCAAAAACGAGAGAACTACCAGAGCTACCACATGTGACGCAAGGATTCTTTCCCTTTTCGATCTTACTCAATAGATCAGCTCAACAATGCTGGAACGATCTACTTGATTTGATCACGGAACTCGCAGAAATCCAGGTGGCTCCCAATGACCCAGGATTTGCATCAGTCCCCATCGTGGGGAAGCCACCGGGGAACCAGTCGTCTGAGAATATACAGAAGAAGCTCCGTGTGCTCGAATTTTCTCACGCTAAACGTGCCGACTTCATCAAGCTTCTCGTTCTTTCTCAATGGGGTCGACAAGCTGCAGATGTCAGCAAGCTGATCGACATTCAGAATTTTATACGTACACGTCACCAAGCATACACAGGCGCGCTACAATGGATTGGAGAGATGAAGAAAGACCTCGTTCGAGCCCAGGTGGCCAATCCGGATATCAGGACGTCCCTTGAGGTATTATCCAAGGGAAGAGTGGCGTCCATGCTTACCGTAAGTTACTTGTGCCTGAAACTAATGCCCCAATCTAACATGCGGTGTGCCAGCTCGGTTACAAGCCTCCCAAGCTTCTAACGCCGAGAAGAGCTTTAAGGAAGTTACAAAAAATTAACCGATTACTATGTACCCGACTTGCGCTGCATGATGAGCTTCCTCCTTCCTTTCAAACTTACAGCATTCATGACGGTCGAGTCACTTTTATCGTACCTACTGAATTTGAGCTTGACCTGTCCATTGGAGAAGGAAGTGGATTGTCACAATTCTTTTTCGTCGACATTCGCTTCCTCTTCCGTCCATCGTCACCAATCCCCAAAGGTCGAATATTCAACGAGCTTGAGTCCAAAGTCAATGATGTACTTCAGACTCGCGGCTTGCCCGGCTGTTTCGATCTATTACATAATCTGGTTCTTACGAACAAGATCAATGTCCTCTTTAAACAAGCCACCGAAATGGCAAGGGGACTCTGGACTGATGTATTGCGCATCGAGCTGCTACATCGAACGGTTGTTGTCCACTATTGGGCACGGAAGCCTGGTAGCAAGAGCTGGTTAGAAATCGGGATCAATAGCGGCCGTCGCGGATCTATCCACGGGAGCCCTGTGCCACCCTACCTAGGGTTGCGCTGGATAAAAGATGGAGAAGAGGTCAATTCTGGGTTGATCGATTTTGACACGGCGAACATTTCTATGGAACGGTTACTTCGAAGTGTTATCGCCTTGCACGTATCTCATACCGTCTCCTCGGCATATCACAGCATAAGTCAAAGCTTACTATATTCAACCAGCACGTTGTCCTTACGAGCCCAGCTCACAACCACTGAGCCCGGTAACTGCCTACTCGATGTTCAACTCACGGAAACCAGATACCTCAGGGTTTCTGTGGAGCCGATGTCAGGAGCGAACGTCTTTTCCACTACGCCCAATATCTTGGAGCGGCCTGACAATGATCGGCTAGCAGACAAACCTGCTGTCGATGACATTGTCACCCGTGTTGCACGCCTCCGGTGCATTGCAGCTATAGAAGAAGTCGAATGCTATTTGCAAATGCTAGGTTTCGACGTGATAAACCCACGGATATTGAATATAGACGTTCGCAGGGTCTTTCCATTGAACGTTCTGCGCTTCTCCTTCTTCAGCCACAAATCTTGGGAGCGAAACTGGATTGTAGCAGCAACGAGCAGCATGGATGGTGATAATTGGTGGCTTGTTCAACTTCGATTGGGGGTCGTAGCCAAAAGACATTCAGCATATGATGTGAATGTCGGCAGCCGGCCCACTTTTCGTTTGGCTCAGGTCGTCAGCAACACTTTCATCTCATCTCGGCTTGAAAAGAGTTATATGTCCTTTGTGAATCTTGGGCACAGTCTATCAGGAATTCTTACAATATATGCCAACTCCCGTTATCTGGCCGACCTAGACGCAATCAAATCATGTCCTCCTGCGCACAAGCTGAGAATCGAGGCTGGCTTCCAGATTCCAGACATTTCACTTCGATATGAACCTGCCAAGCTTCCCAACGCCTTACGCTTAGTTCTACCTGCAGGAATAAGGCAGAAAGGTTTCATCAGAGAAACCATTCGTCTTACATTCCTTGGTATCAATTCACAGGCAAATCTCGCCATAATTGGGGCCTACGGAAGATTGAATATTCCTGTGAAAGCTTTCAGTGCCCTCATATCCAAGTGGGACCGCTCTTTAGTGTTTCAAGAGAGCCATAACGGCTTTGCAATTCGTCTACTTGCACCAACAGGTCGACCAGTCATCATTGGTCTCGTAGAAGATCTACAGAGACTCGAATGTGTGTTGTCTATCCTAGATACCTTGCAACGGAAGAAGATAGAGGTCACGTCAATATCGCTGTCTGGCATCTCCTTCAACTATGGACCTGAAAGGGACTTAGCTGCCAGGCTGGAGGTTGACATCAAAAGAAACCCCTCTCTTTCAGAGGCCGATGCGACCGAGCTTGCGACCAGGTCTGATTCGATCTTCCGCTTGCAGCTCGGCATAAAATTTGACTCCACAAACCCCCATCGTCGAATCGAGGGATCTCTTGCGTCTAGCCTGAATCGTACTTCAGCTGAGGCCAGCATAGAGACCATTGCTGAACTCCTGACAAGCACATTACCTTTAATGCGAGCTTTGGATCATATAATGGATAACACTTCTCGCAATGAGTCCTTGAAGGTGCAGGTGACGGTGCGCAACGCCATGACGTATGTTATTCACTATCCTGATGCAAATTTGCACTTTCAATTGGTTGCCAGGATACGTTCGAACCGCCTAGTGTGGGTGCTCAGAAATGTGAACAGCTCCGAGTCTGGTTCCGACCAGGTCAATTCTATGTCCAAGGTACAGCAGTCTCTGTATGATTCCAAAGGCGATGGTTGGAGAGGGCTTGGAAATGGTGTAATTGCACAAGTTGACCGGGTTGGGAATATTTTGGGGGAACTTCACAGATGCATTGCTGCCTCCGTTCCCAATCCTTCTTTGAATAAAGCTGGTACCAGGGAATTATCGACCGTCACGCCCACGCAAGCTACGGCGCTCAGTGAGGTTGCCTCGGGAGTGGCAACGAAACCAGTACGCCAGGATTCGTCACGTCTCGCTCATTTGCAGGAAAGGACAACTCAACACTCTGCCAGTGTTGCTTCAAGCACTGCGGATGTCATCATGATCGACTAGAATAGAGGCTTCTGAAATGGAACCCATATTTGCACATGTCCATATCTATATCAGTCCACTTCATATATAAATGCCTCGAAGCACCTTTATAGATTGTGCTTCTATTTGTGAATCTCGTATGGTGTATCTTGCTTATTCGCTTCCACATTCCTCTTGGAATTTTGTGGTAGTTAACCCCAGGTTTATGTTTCCAATGCGGTTTTAAGTCTGATGAGTATTCTGCAGCGTGAGACTCCAGCAGAATTCGACATCGGTCTCCAAGTATGATATGATAATGGAAGTGAAAATGAGCCTACATCGCGTCATTGCCTTATCCGACAAGGAATGTTCTCCTGTCTCATTAATCTCGGGAAAATTCTATTGCCTGATGACATCCTAACCGGGCTAATGGTAATTCGGTGGCTAGAGTAACATTTCCCAAATGTATAAGTTGCTCACGTGTCGCATTTGTGCTCTAGCGAAAAGATGACTAGTAACGCTCTTCTCTGACCCGTCCCCGGTTTTTTATAGCGTCATATTCTATCCATTGAACGCAAGTAAGACCACTTCCTGAAACAACCCTTCCTGGGTTCATAACATGGCAGCCTTCGTACGTCATGCAAAATGGAACAGATTCTGGGTCAGCCAAGATGAGCGCGGTCGGCAGTGGATATAGCTGAAGTGAAGACGCATAGTCCCAGAGAACAGGTCGTAGAGAGAGTGGGAAAGGCGACAAGTTTCCTTGATCTAGGATGGTCTTCACAAGCTTTCGAGCAATCGAAGTTGCAGAAGGCATTGCATTGGCATCAGTAGACGTGTATTGAGCTTGAGGAGCTGGCTGATTCTCAACTTCTAAGCCACTGTTCCCATTGGTGTCAGTCATGTCGCCTGGGCCGACCTTGATTGCGCTGCGTCGAAGCCTACTCGATATGTCATCTCGAAATATGGCGATGTCATGGAGAGGTCCGAACAGTGTCAAACGCGCAGGATTAGAAGTCCATACTGCTTCGCCAGGCGGCTCAGACGTCTTGGAGCGATCAACATGTGAATTTGCTGCGGCAAACGCACGTCTCACTCTGGTAGTGAACAACTCGGGAATAGCATGGCGCGGTACTGTGGAAGCAGCACCAGCTGAGAAAGCTGACGACCATGGATCATTGTCACCTGGGACGAAAACGAAGGTCGAATGCTGTAGCAGCAGGGGGAACTCAGAAAGTGTCAAGGATAATGCATCAAAGTATTCTTTGTACTCGATACTGCCTGCCTGACCACTGCTGTTGATTATTGCTTTCTGCACAAAATTTCCGATAAGGACGAATGCTAGCGGAAATTCGACCACATTAAGGCTGCTGTAGTAGCCAAAAACCTTTTTCAAGGCATCCAGAGTCCCCATGTCGTCGAGGTTGACCTCACTCATGATCGCCAGCTTGAGTCGGCGACCATCTTCAGCGTTGTCGTGAACATTCTCTAAATATTGAGACTGGACTTGCCTCATGCGTGGGCCTTGTGCCCGCTCACTCCCAACCCCTAGGAAGTCTACCCAGCCCAGACCTCCGCTTGAGCTGATTTCACTATTGCGTTGTCGGTTGCTTGTTCCCAAGGTGATGTCGCGGCGCTCACATGGAGGCCCACAAATAGAAAGGGCCATAAATTTCCCTCCAATGGCTCCACCAACGCCGGAATTACCACCGAGTGAAGATCCCTTAACATGTGCTTCCTCTTCGTAGACCCCATCTACAAGAGCAAACATTCCAGGGGCAAGCCAAGAACCGTCTTCCGGGACAATTCGCCCATGACTCAGATCAAGAACAATACTTCCGGTTTGGTCACTTAGAGAGAGCTCCCCGGTGGGTGACACTGAGAGTAAGCCAAGGATTAGGTGGGAAGTCCCGCTTCTTCCCAGCAGATTTGCGACCGGTGTCAATTTGTAGCCGGTTAATGATGTTCGCCGAAAAACCGACTCACTAGACAACCCTGATGATGTTTGAAATGACTCGTTCCGAAGGAGCCGTTGGTGAACGATGTTGTAGCGGTCTCTGAAAAAGGCAGTTTTATGAGACGGCGACGGAAAGAGTGAGGGCTTTGATTTAGCAATCTCGAAATACTTCATATCCCCATGATATGTTAAGCGTGGAATATCAAATGCTTCAATAATCCTCAACCATTGCCGTGGATGTAGAGCCGAGTCAGCCTCTTCGGACTTTCCGCCTTGAAGGGTGTTTGCTGCAAGAACAGTCTCCGAAATTAAACCCCTGCTGTCCAAGCTCGGACTTCGGCTTGAGGTGGCCTCATGTGCCGATGTATTCTTCCCCGCGACCATTCTTCCCCCACTCATATTACCCTCCAGGACTTGCAAGATAGCCTTCAATGAGGCCCCTTTACCTTCATCAACAATCACACCACCTCCGGCTTTCCTCCAGCTCTTGGCAACTTCATCCAGCACACGTTCAGCAAGGCCCTCTTCCCGCCATCCCGATCCACAGTTCCTTCCCACGAAATTTGCTAAGGTCTGGAGAGCAGATGATGAGATCGTGAGGTTGTGCTTCCGCGTAAAAGTCCGAAAGGCTACAGGACGAAGAGTAGAGGGTGGAAGTAGAATGGGAAGTATCGAGGTTCGCGTAGGAGCGTGATTGGGTCTGGTCTTTCGAAAAGGGTGCGCAGGAGTGCCAAATCCAGGCGATGATGAAGGAATGGGATCCGTATCCATGCTTGAGGCTCGAGATGAATGTTGGCGTCAGGAAAGAAGTGTTGATAACTGCCTTTCGGTTGCAACAAGACCAAGAGACAACTCAACCAGTTCTTCCCGGTAGGGTGATCGCAATTGACCCTCGTGAGCAAAAGCGTGATATGCCTAGAATACCCCCTGATTCGTTGTTGTCTTTCAAATGTGAGTCGTCACAACGGTTGCGGGACCGAATCCGATAGCTAGCTATCTTGCCCGAGCGGGACGCGAGGTTGTCGCGCGGCGCACGCGCCTTCCCGCGATAAGTAATCGCGGGAGGTCTTTTATTTCTCTTTGTCGGAAAACTAGTCAGAAACCACTTGACGCTGACCTATATACTTAGGCGAGTCGCCTTGGTCAACTTGATAACTTATATTCCCCTTCCCGGTTCTTGTTCACTGGTTTATCGCCCTCCTTGTTCAAAGACTCGATTCGCCCTGCGCAGTTCATCGCATCCTGCATCCCGATTGAGCTCTGTATGGGTTGTCCATCCGATGTCTCTGATGATTTCTCCTTCACACTGCTGACTCGAGCTGCAAGCATACCGATACCTATAGTCAATTCCTTTCAGATAGCTAACATGGCGGAAACAAATGACTTGGGTGTCACCCCACCCCGAGGAGATTGTGACGGTGATGACCGGGCGTCCTTGGACAATCTTATCAGTCAAGCTGCAGCGAAAGACGCAATCAAAGATTTCAGCGCGGCCGCGGAGCTATATTCCGAGGCTACGGAGCTTCAGGCGAAACTAAATGGCGAACTAGCACTCGACAATGCCGATCTTCTCTTCGCTTACGGGAAAGCCCTTTATAACGTTGCTGTTAGTAGGAGCGATGTTCTTGGATCAAAGGTGGCTACCGAGCCCCCTTCTCAACCCAACAATCCAACACCGACAGCAGAGAGTGTCATTCAAGATGCTATCGTCCAGGCGCAGTCTGCAGAACCAAGATCTGAAGTCAAGGCTAAGCCGTCCGAGGATACGAGCAAACCATACTTTCAATTTACAGGCGACGAGAATTTCGACGATTCCGATACTGAAGACGAAGATGATCCCCCGCTTGTCGAAGAGGAGGATGACTTTGCCAATGCCTATGAGGTTCTCGATCTGGCGCGTATACTGTACCAGAAGAAGCTAAATGCATTGGAGGAGGATGCCGGGAAAGGGAAATCTGCGAAGGCACCCTCAAGCCTCAAGCAAATCAAAGAACGACTTGCTGATACGTATGACCTACAAGCTGAGATCTCACTCGAAGCTGAAAGGTTTGCGGATGCAGTGGCAGATTTGAGGACAGCTTTAAGTTTAAGACAGTTGCTGTTCCCCATGGAAGACCCCTCCGTTGCCGAATGCCATTACAAGCTTTCCCTCGCCCTCGAATTCGCATCGGTGAGCAAAGCTAACGACGGTGCACAAACTGAAGATGGTAAGGTCGATGAGGAAATGAGAAAAGAGGCTATTATACAAATGGAGCACGCTATTGAAAGCTGTCGAGTCAGAATGGCCCAGGAACAAGCGAAATTGGATATGAATGACTCGCCGGATGAAGATAAGGCTATCGCCATGAGAAGAAAGATAGCTAATGTGAAGGATATTATTTCCGACATGGAGCAAAGGGTAAGCCTCCGCCTTGCATTTCTGTTTTTGTTGGGAGCCTCGACCCTCACATCTATTTGACAGCTCGTCGACCTCCAACGCCCTGTCGCCTCATCCTTGAAAGCTAGCGATGTGGAAGACACCATGCTTAGAGGCATCCTGGGTCAAATTGTAGGACAACCTGTTTCTGAACGAAAGGCTCGACTTGACGCAGTCACCGAAAATGCAAATGACTTATCTGCATTTGTGAAACGAAAGCCTACTAGCGCCTCTCGGCCCCAAACTGGGGAGTCGACTAAAAGGCGTATGGTTGGAGATAAGACCCAAGACTCCGCACCAAAAAGAGCCCGAACTACCGACATCAAGGATACGATATAATAGCTGGTGAACTCCTAAAACCCACGTGCATTTCACCCGTATCTACGGGCTCCGCCCTCCACCTCTCACAATACTGCAAGCTCTCATCGTGAATTTGACGCCCAGTTTCGTTGATATTGAATTATGATACCCAGTTGAATAAGGACATTATGCATGAAAAATACAAGGTAAAATCGTACTCATTGTGGGAAAGCACAACCAATGATGATAAACGCTGCGCCCTGTAGAACTGCAAAAGCTGGTCGGCAAGTGCAACACCCGGACGAAGTTGAAGACTGACAAGATACAGTCGCTCTTGCGGGTTGTCTGGCTTGGAAATTGGTTGGATGCACAGTTGTTCCCGGGTCGGTAAATCTCTTGAGGTTGATCATGATGGGTTGTGTCTGAACCTAGAAAGATAATGTTCCATTTTGCGACTTCTGCGGCGCATAGCTAGACCAGGGCTCCAAATCCCGGCGAAGAGATCTTCGCATTCATCCTCATCCTGGCTGTCGAATTCTATAACGTCTTCCGATAAGCTTTCCCGGTGTTCTTCAGAGCATGAGGTTTCAGAATTGAGAAGCAGATTGGCCTTCGGTGCAGACTCCCAGAACGGTGACGCTGTAATTTTCTCGGTCTCTAGTATGAACTTGCCGACCTTGTAGAGTTGTGATTCCTCCTCTGCGGAGACATATTTCCAGCCGAGTACAGTTCCACAGAGGGCACAATTTAAATCGCTTACCATGTGCGCACCGGTCACTAATCGTCGAGGTATAGGTTTTTGCACGATGGTATTTGGGAGACAATCTGTCGCTGCGGAAGATGGATTAATAGAAACCGCACTGGCAATAATTCGTGCAGATACAAGCAACGCGCGGCCATGACGGCCAGTGAAGCCTTTGCTGATTATTTGCGATGTCAAGCATAAATCGGCCGCGCAATGAGAGCAACGGATACAGGACACATGGCCCATCAAGAACTTATTGGTGTCGTTACTCGTCTCCTCCAAAGAAGGTATTGGGTCTAGTCCAGAGGACGGTCCCTGGGTTGCAACGTGCCTGGAGCGCAAGATACCTGGACGAAGTAAAAACTTAGGAAACATCGGAGCGTTTAACACAACTGTATTGCAGGTATATTCAACAGAAGTATCATCAGGACACCTCAACTCAAAAGGACCAGTGGGTGATTGGAAGAATATATCTTCTGAAATTTGTCTACCTTATAGCTACCGTTAACTATAGCATAGGTAGTCCTGAGGTCATCTCCGCGTGATCCGCCATTTGTCCCTTGGCGCCCGCAACATCAGCCATTCCCGTAATAAGGTGATTCATTACAGGTAAGTATCGTAGGAGAGCCGATATGCGACAATTGGAACCACCGAAGACACCATTGCACGTTGAACGAGCCCTGGGAGTACAATTGAGCCTAAAATGGTTCGAATTGCTTCTAGAAGTAGGCCAACAAGCATCATCAGATGGTGCCGGATATTTCAGATGACTAGGACATGCTAGGAAACAGGAACCTTAGGAGTGTTGTTCGACGCAAAGTAGAAAAGTAGGCTGCTGCACCAGAGGAAATCACTGCTATACGAGTAGCCATAGTATCATAAGACTCTAAAGAAAGCGGACATGTCCCTTTGATTATACCTCGGCGCTTAAGAAGAGCCACTTATCGCTCAATGTATGATTCAGGTCATTTTCGACACTCCATTGTTGCAAAGTAGTTAGATTAAAACCACACCACCCAAGGTTCCTTACGATTTGGAGCTCGACCGCATTGTGCGAACGCGGGATACAAGCAACAATTTGCAAGCATTGGAATGCACTAATACTTGCAAGCTCGAATAATGCCACCAAACTAGATCATGTCAAGATTAATAAGCACGAATGATGAAATGTGCTGGTTTATGGAGGCCCGACCAGGTTTGGGGTCACATACCCAGTTTTGAGGCCGTGGCCCAAAGTTTGGTCAGAGAAAAACACGAATATGGTTGGTTGGCCATCGCTCGTGTTAGTCACAAACCCTCGATAAGTAATGTCATTTGTGTAATCCAGAACTTCGAGCCAATGCTGGATCGGCGTGTGCATAGCCTCGACAATTTCTGGCTGGCTTTGATACGCACCCATCCCAGGCGACTCCTGCTCAGTAAATCTCCTCTCACCAAGGAATATTACAGACAGGTGCTCGCAGAAGAGCCTCTCACACTCTTCCGGGATAGCATGCGTTGCCTCCCCTTTATGCTCCGATAAGTTGTTCCCTGGCCAGCTAATACCCATACCGGGAATGATGGACAAGTCAAGGGGAGGACGTGAAGGCGGCTTAAACCCTGAGGGGACCTCAGGGATACCACTGTGCTCCTGAGTGCCGTGCTACATTAACATCTGTGGATGGAGCAGGCAGCTTCCTTGGGAAAGGGTATCTTACCGGTGCCCATAGCAGTGCAGTAGTGGAACCCAGTAACTGCGGAGGTGATAGTATTCACACTGTAACAGCTTGCAAGAACGCTGACCCGACGGGATCTCTCAGAGCACCGTTGCAGCTGACTATCACTACTACTGATATCGTTTGATGATTTGGCCATGGTGGGAACTTGACGGAGAGAAACTAGGGACTGATTGTACGGTTAGGAGGGGTTATGAATGTTGTAGGCTTAAGAAAAGACTTCTTGAGTCACCGAATCTTCGATGACAGCTGGACCGTCGAAAGGAATAATAAGATTGAAGATCTTCGAAGAGGTGTTGCAACTCGATAGGATGACGATGTTAACTGGCAGATTTTTGTAATCGACAGCCTGACGGGTTGGAGAAGTGACAGGTCACAGAAGGGGCCTGCGGGTGGATCCGTCCATTCTGTTACGCGCGGAACTACGTACTCATACTCGTATCATATGACCTCGGGGTTGATGGGAAATCAAACCCCACTCTGCCGATCTCCCGGCGATAGGTATTGGTAAGAGGGAGACATACACGGACTTCTACTCCGGATCGCAGGGTGTTTATACTCAATACTCCATCTACTACATAGATTATGGGTCACAAGTCTGGTCATCGCCAAGACGGGTATAAGGATATCCATAAGGCCGGCCTAAAGGGCTTGATCGACAAGGGAAGTTAATCCATATACGCAAAAGGTTAACTGGATTGATGCTGGTTAAAAGTACACATATCATGCCCTATGAGAATTAGAAATAATGGTAGAACGAAAACTCCCGTGAAGTTGTAATCTAAGCAAGGGATCAGAGTCCGAAGAGATACGAGGAAGTCAGCGCTGAAGGCAGGGTTTTCACAGAGCTATGGCCAACACCAGAGTATGTTCTCAGAGTTCCCGGTAATCGCTCGGTCTCGTCCTTCGATGCCTTGCCTGGTGTCGTTGCGGATTAACAGGCTGACGAAAATATGCAGTGTCTTCTTCTCTGGCGAAAGGAGTACTAAAAGTGGTTCGCTGCTGGTTTGAGAATTGGCCAATTTCTAGACCCTGCGAGAAGTCGGTACTTGGCTGGACTGGCCCATTCATCTGTGACATAGGAAACATGCTAAAACTCGACTCTGCCGCATTGCCAAACATACTTGCGCTATAGCCACCCATTTGATCACCATACATTACGCCAGGGAGCTGGTTGAAATTCGCACCATTCATCAGGTTCCAAGGCTGGTTGATGTTCGGTGGAAACCCATTGGCCGCAGGAATGCCCATATAATTCAAGAAACCGGCCCCTTCAGACGCAAACCCAGGAGCAGGAAACGGTATCGCGGGCATTCCTGGGGTTTGCGCGAACCCAATTCCTCCAAAATTCATTTGCTGGGCAAAAGGTGGCTGCTGGAAGCCATTGGGTGAATCTTTAGCCTGCGTAGCCAGCATCTCGACAGAAGATTGGCCGTGAGAATAACTTTTTTTCTGTTTCTTCGAAAGAGAGCTTGGGCTAAGACCTTCGGAGGCAGTGCTGATAGGCTCACCATCCGCAGGCCTCTTTTTCGAGGCCGTTGGCGCAGTTGACGTGGCTAGGGCAGGTGAGACCTCTTTCGTTACCACGGAGATTTGGCCTGAACCAGATGCTTTGCTGATTGCTTGAGCCTCTTGCTCCATTGGCTGCTTTTCTTTGTCTTTCTTCTGATCTGTCTTCTCGGTTTCGTATTCTTTAATTCTGGCAATGGCGTCATCGTCGACTGACAGGTTATCAAGAAGAACGCCCTCTGTTCCACATCCAGGACAAACGAAGTCACTCTCAATCAATGCGTTTGCAATGCAGTCGTTGCAATATGTTTTCTGGCAGCATGGGGTTTTGGTGGGCTCCAGAAACATTCTTCTGTCTATTGGACATTCTAGGCCACGTGCTTGAAGTTCTTTGCTGTGTTCTGCCGCAGCAGCTTCAGCGGCGGCGGCAGCAGAAGCTTTGGCTTTTTCTTGGTAGAGCTCCCAGGCGGCCTTATCTGGTTTCGCAATGACAAAATCGCCATCAGCGTTGACCATAACGCCGGTATTTCTTGAATCTTCATTCGAGCCATCCAGAGTGAGGTTCTCGGGCTTGTCTACTTTGGTTTGAAGTGACCGCGGTATTCCGGTTGAGCGTTTCACTCTGTATTTACCGTCAAATTTGGGGTCGTTATTCGTAGGGCACTCGTGTATGAAATGTCCTACACATTTGGTCAGCGAGGCTTCCCCATAAAGCTTGACACATGCAAGAACTCACCCTTCTCGCGACAGCGGTAACATATGTACCCCGGGGGCATAGGACGCTCTTGAGAACTCCCAGGTACGATCTTACCCCTCCCACGACCAAAAGGGACGGGTGTGGCGCTATAGGATATTAGGAGATTGTGGTGCTATGATAAAAGGTCTGGCAAACACCGGATTTTTGTACTCACTTCGCCATTTCTTGCTGTTGCTCTTTCCATTGATGCGCCTGCAGATTGAAAAGGGCATTAATCTTTTCCTCTTCAGTCTGAGCATTATTAAGTTCGAGAACGCCGTTGCTGACGGGTTGGCTATTGAGAGAAGTTCGAATTGATGAAAATTGGTCATTACGAGGAGTGTTGCGCGCATTGACTGGCATTTTCCCGGACACATACCGGGCGGCGCCGCCTTTCCCTGGCCTTGATGCTGGCAACCTCCGAGCTATGACTGAAGTCGATCGCGGTATGATGTTGGTGTCATCATCGTATTCTACTCGGGAATTTTGTTAGCAAATGTCGATTACATTTCGACTCTTTATTATTGAATGCTCGTGAGCAAAGTGGAGAGTCGGCCTCTTGGGAAACAAATCGTAGAAACTGACTAACCTTCTCCAGTATCCTCATTGTAGACAGAGAGCTCAAAATCGGTTCCATCCCCCAACCTACTTTGATTGATAATCTCTCGTTTCAGCTCGAAGACGGATATACCGGTGCCATCGAAAGTTACCCGGGAGGGTTCTTTTTGGGACTTGAACTTGAAATGAACAGATGATGACATTTTATTCAATTGGAAGTCCAATGATTGCGTTGTCAATGTAATTAGATCAAAAGGAGAATGCCACTTTCACAAAAGATACACGGGAGAACAAGGTAGACAATTGGTAACAGCAACGAACGGGAGGGCTTGCAGATCACAAATAACAGATTGACTTGCAAACAGTCTCTTGCAATCAACTTCAGAGATCGAAGGACTACCCTTTCTCGAAGGCGTTGCTCAGATATGTAATGAGGACTTCTCTTCTAATGGGTGGCCACGAATGACTGTATACAGACAAGTCTGACGATTGTGACGAATACAAGGATGATGCAAGCAATTCTGCAACAAGTCGAGAGAGAATTTCAATATGGCTTCTGAGGGCTGTGCTAGTCCAAACCTGAGCTATTTGAGCTTCCCTCTAACCTGCAATGACGACAGATTTAGTAGGATAACTTCGGTCGAAGAGCGATAACGATAGAATTGTAGAAGATCGATAATTTATGGGCTCACGAATGCATGTAGACAAGAGGATGAGGAAGAAGGAAGGACCCTAATATACTCGCGCAGCAAGACTCCTGGGTGACTGTCCGGTCGCGAAAGGAAGCATGCGCACAAAGAACAGGCCGAAGACCTAATTCACAGAAAAACCAAAATAAACCAAAATTTCAAAGAGTACTTCTGTCTGAATAATGAAAGGGACAAGGGCAGAGATGGGCTTGGCGAGATATAAAAGGATCGTCTGCGGATGGCGAGGTCGGTCAAGAGGTGGTGGCAACCATCTAAAGGTGGATGATAGCTAATGGACTTTCTTTCGATGTAGTCACATGATCAGCCTGTGATGATTAACTAACATACTTGGTAAGCAGACCGGCCACATAAGCGAGCCGGCCACTCCCTCAACTACCACCACATCTATAAAACTGAGTATATTCAGACATTAATTTTTTTACTAAAAATATCTAAGTTAACAAAAGAATTGGTAGAATAAGAAAACGGATTATATTTTGTAAGTATAACTATATCAAATTATTTAATTGTTCTAATTTATAAAGCTGTATTATTTTCAATATTCTATATTCATAATTCCTTGGAAATATTTTAAATTATTTCTTGTAAAAAGATATATATTAATAATTATAAATTGATATTCCAAAGAACCATTAAATGAATTATTTATTAGAAAAATGATATTATTAGATTGATACAGTACATTCCAAAGATATTTTCAAATATATAATATATACTATTGCTAAAATCTTAATATATTTATTTTATAAAAACTTTATTTAATTTAGAAGTATAAATCAATAATTTTAATAAAGTATATTAATACTGCTGAATAAGAATCACCTGTATATTTAATATTAAAAATAAAATTATGGTGTTCTTCATGGTGTTATTATCATAGACAATTCTGCCGTGCTTCGTGTGGCCGCATCACACACCCCTAGGCCTCGCCAAAGCCCGCAGGTTTACGGGTCGGGTTCAAACCCAACCCGGTTTTTAGCAGGTTATAGATTAATGGACTTAATCTACAGATTAGATATAAATTTAAATATTTAATTTATAGATTTTTAATAAATATCTGCAGGTTATTAAATTAAATAAATATTGTAAGATCAGTAGCTTATATAAATTATTTAATTTTAACTATATTTTTAAAATATTATATTTAAATTTAAAATAATCTAATATAAAAAATATCTAATTATATATAAATTTATAGTACTTAAAATTAGAGAATTCGATTTGTTTATATATAATATATATTTCATATAAAATAAATTAATTATTATTATAATATAAATACTTTCTGATTTCATTTAATATTTATAATTAAATATTTAATAGAAAATTATTTTTATTATCTTTATTATTATTATTATTATTATTATTATTATTGTTTTTTAGTTACTAAAACTATTTAGTTTTTATTTATATTAAAAAGTGGTATTTTTTCTTCTTTTATCTATTATATATTTTAATAAAATTAATATTTTTAATTATTCAGAAACAGCTTCTTTTATTATTATTTTTATTTATTATTATAATTATTTTTATTATTACTAATCAGCTCGATGCTTTCTTCAAAAAAATCATACCTTTTTTCAATTAATTTTAATTTTTTTTAAAAAGAATTTTTTTATATAATAA